TGTAATCTATATCTATATCTATATTTATATTTATATATATATAAAAAGGTTGTTGGTAAAATTATTATTTTTAACTTTTGACTAAATAAATAAATCATTTGACTTACTATTTAATTCTCTGCCAAATATTTAGTTTGATATTGATCAAATGTTAGCATACGTATACATATATATATGCAATCTTTTGGAAATTAGCAGCATATACATAAACTGTAATTGTCAAATTATTTTACTTTTTTTTTTTCCTTTAGTTATTTACGTCGTCTTTAATAGTTCAAATTTGCACATATTTTGATTTATTTAATCCACATTTATCACAATAAAAAAATTAATTCTTCATATTAATTACGAATCACTGCAATATTTTTATTCTTTTGGCAATCAACTATACATCATGTCTTCAAAAAATGTGTATTAAATATATTTTGTTTCTATAATAAATTATTTGAATATGCACGATAAGGTTGCAAATATAATTACAAAATAAAGATTGAAAATCAATTATGAAAAAATTATTGTGACATTTATCACAATGTTACAATTAAATCTTATTTATCAACATTAATAAAAAATTATTGTGATTTATTATTCATTTGGTAAACAACCATATACCAACATTTTTTTTATCGTACCTTCAAAAAATTATTTAATCGAGAGGATTAGTTTAAAATCTATTGATTTATCAATAACACAACCGTTATAGTTTTCAAAAATTATAAACCCAATTTTCCAAAATATCAAAAAAATAAAATAAGAAAATAACTATTTATCTTTAATAACAAGCCAATCTTTATCCTTAACAACAAATCATATGTTCTCCTATTTTGTTGGGTATCCATCCATATTTAAATCGAAATATGCGTGAGAACATTGCAAAATAAATTTAGAAATCAATTGCAAAAATCTTATTAATATAAACCTCACCAGCTGCCTTCCCTTGCTTTGCTCGAGTCCAACGAACGAAACGAAGTTCAGTCATAGAAGAAAGCATGATGGGACTTATCGGTAAACACACTGACCCCCTAAAAAGATAGGTCGGTCTTATTAAGATGTCTGCGGACAGGAACCATCTATGAACACAGAAGTGACGTTGGAAACAGCCACCCAAAGAGAAGATACAAACGATCCATTTGTCTTTCTCTTATCTTATAGCATTCAAGTCTTCTAGTCACAGCAACAATACTATAATAGAATTGATATATCAACATTAATAACAAATCTCTACGATTTTCTATTTATTTCGTAGCGAGCCATATACCAAAAATCATCTATTAAAGGAGTTCAGAAATATCCTTTGATTTTATCAATAACTGCACCAAACCATTTTTTTTTTCAATTTCATAACAAATCTCATAGAAATTAATAAATTAGAAAAAAATTAAAATATTTATCATATTATAAATTATAAGAATAAAATAAAATAATATTGATGTAATTAATGATTAATAATTTTTTTAACTTCCAAAATAATATTTATTTCAATCTTTTTCAATTAAGATTTGGTTATAATATTTGCCACAATTTTTCAACTTTAACGTACCTTATTTAGAAATCGAAATAATATATTTTAAGATGGTATGGGTAAGAGAAGATAGATAAAGGAGATAATATTTGAATATGTTAAAATTTCATTATCCTTAATTATAAACAGGATCTAAAATGACAACTATTTTATAACGAGTGAAATAAATATATAAATCAAATATTAAATTATTATATATCATAAAATAAAATAAAAAATAATTATTAATATTCAAAACTATTTTTATACAAATCAATATTGCTTCATTGCATTAAACATTCAATTATAATTATTATCCCGTGCATCGCACGGGCTACATACTAGTTGTAAAATAAACCTCACAATTTCGCGTTTTGACAATTTAATTCAAATTTTTGAATAATTGCAATAAATTCTGACTTTGTCACAGTTTGGCAAACCGAACTCAATGGTGATTGGAGATCATATTTTTGACAGCGTGGTCGGCAGGGACGGATCTAGAAATTAAGAGTAGACTGAGCTAGAATTTAAAAAAATAATTTTCATAAAAATCACAAATATATTTTCTTCAAATTATTCATTGAAGTTGTGCTCAACGAACTTCTACAAAGAAAAAATCATTATGTTCATTTTGCACCATATTTGATGTGCTTTCACTAGTTTGATGTTGATCTCGTTTTTTAAAGAATGATGATATCAATTGTGTTTTTCCTTTCTTGGTCGAAGGTTGGTGCTCCATGTGAATTTCTAAAAGTTCCACAATACAAATAAATAGATTTTTCATATGGCATAGTTATTAGCAAAATGAAATACGTACACATCATAATTTATTTCCAATTATGATATACAATAACTACATTAGAGGACAAGAGATTAAAACACACACACACACACACAAAATTACTGTTTCATACACAATCAACAAAACAAGAATTGCAACCACTGATCCTAGCAATTACTATTAAAACCCTAAATAGCTTAACTAAAATGAGAAAATAGATAAAGACAATTAGACAAATGAAATAAATATGTAATAGAGGGTTTACAAATATAGCTTACTATCAAAGAAGAAATTAAATAGTCTTCATGAAAATAGCCTCTTTCTTGTTGATTTTTTTCTTCTTCTACATTCATTGTTCCGGTGTTCAGAGGAGAGGCATGGTCATGGTTAATTTATTTAATTGGAGTTTGGTGTATAGTGATGTTTTGTGAGTTAGTGAGAAATGGTGGATCAACAATATATAATGTTTTGTTTGAGTGGTATTAGTAGTCTTTGGATTTAATAGATAAGTTAATTATTTTGTTGAGTTAGTAGGTTGGTTAAAAGTATATTATTTTGGGTTGGGCAAAAAATATAATAATTTTTTTTAAAACTAACAGTTGTTAAAAAAAAAAGATAACAGGCCTGGGCTTCAGCCCAGCCCAGGCCTCAAGTAGGTCCGCCCCTGGTGGTCGGCCATTTAAGATAATGTGGCGAACGATTTGATGACTTGGATAGTACCTCATTAAGTTAATTGTAAAACGAAAATGTTACAAGTATGTATATAGAAGTGTACATAACACTCACATGGAGTTGAGTCCACTTAATTTTTTATTTTTGATAGGTCTCACTCAATGTGAGTGTTATGTACACCCCTATGTATAATATTATGTACCTATAACATTTCTTATTGAAAATAACCACGATTTTTTCATTTTGACGTTTAAAAAAAATTCTACTTTAAGAAATTAGCAAATAAAGACATTAATTTTCGTCTTATTGCAACTCGAAAATGTTCCCATGCGTTTTTTTTTTCAGCATCTATGACATAATCATGTATTAGACCATAGTTTTTTGACCTGGCCGGCCCGACGAGTCGATCCGGAGTCGGAACCGGTCCGGGTGGGTTATTTAGACCGGGCAACAAAGGACCCGGTCAAATCCGGTCAAAACCCGGCCAACCCGGAGCATTGACCCGGCTGGGTCAACCCAGTTGACCCGGCCTTTATATATTTTTTAATTTATTTTAATTTTTTTAAAAAAATAAAACTATGTATATATGTTTATATGGTAAATATTTATCATGAGATATATATTATTAACACTTTAATGTATAAATTTTATGCACAAATCATTTAATTTTGTTACTTTTATGTATATTTATATGACAAAAATACTCTATATATAATTTTAAAAATTTTAAAATTAATTATCCAGTTCAGCAATTGACCCGGTGACCCAGTGACCCGAAGACCTGCCTAGGTCGATTACCGGGCCAGGTTTAAAAACTATGTATTAGACACATTAAATTCGTTTAGTAGCCTTGATAGGATGAGATAAGGTTGGTTCTTATCTCTCGTTTACTAAATAGGATTGGGATAAGGATATAGATGACGTGGCATGAGTGGGCGGGATAAAAGAATTCGGCCACTGGGGAGTGATAAATTTATCCTTGGTCTTAAGCGACCTTTATATANTTATTTATTAGAAAATATATTTACTTAATTTAAAATAATATTATTTAATGTATAAAATATTTATTCAAATAATATTATTAATTTAAAATAATTTTATTTTATTTAAAATAATTTTTTTAATTTAAAATAATATTATTTAATATATAAAATATTAATCGAATTAATTTTATTTAATTTAAAAAATATTGTTTAATATCAAATTATTTTACTTAATTTAAAATAATATTATTTGATTTTTAAAATATTAGTTTAATTAATTTAATCGGAAATTTAATGTATTTATCATAGACTTTTATCTACTTTGGTAAACATGGACCATTTTCAAAGAAATTGACCAAATCTGAGTCATGGGACAATTTAATGTTGATTGAATTATCATAAGAATGACAAACAAACTAATGTTGAAACTCAAACACAATGTATATTATAATTTGAAATGAAAAGATAAGATGAATAAAAAATATTAATGCTATTTGAGATCAAAGGGAAGTGCACAATCTATTATGACTGCCTCGATATTGATGAATGTGCATAAAAGATTCATAAACATTTTATTGTTGGTCCTATATTTTCTTTAAATTTTGGTTAAATTATCTTACTACCAAACTAATGGAACAAAATATGAGTAGCAATAGTATTCTAATAATTTAAGTTGTCAATGGTTCTATCAAATTTTCTGCCAAAATGGATTTCAGTTTTCAACATAACCGATATTAGATATCTTTGAAGGTTTTAGGTAATAATTTTTAATTATTATGTTGAGTTGTGTAGGTAGATAAGAGAAATAATTTTTAAATATTATGTTGAGTTGGATTGGGGATAAAGAAGGTTTTAGGTAATTACATCAACTTTATTAGGGATATCACATGCTTATTTAGCATTTTCATGGAGAATATCAGCTTTGCACTCTGAAAAAAAAAAGCAAAAAAAGATTACAAACTGATAATACCCATCACTTTACTCAATACCCATTAGCTTTTTCAATAAACAGTAAGAATCAAATCATCTCAAGGGTTAAGCAGAGTTTGCAGTTACCAACTGAAACAAATCTGATAAAACCTAAGATTGGAGAAATTTCTTACATCAACAGCCACAAAAAAACTTAGAATGAGACAACAAAACCATAATGAAGCACAAGTTCTTTCTCAACATTCAACCACCAAGTTGTTCATAAATTTAGCCAGATTAGGCGAAAAACGATATCGAACTGTATCGTTATGTACATCACGCAAGTGCATTACTGGAAAAAAACAAAAGAACGAATATCCGAAAACACAAAAGAGGGGGAAAAAGAAAGAAAACGGAAGAGTTTCACGTCCGAAACCAAAAGAAAAGTCATCTCGACATATATCACCAACCTCAACTAAAATGAGCAAGGAAAATAAAAAAAAAATACCAGGTACCTCATGAATTCCGACTGCCTTCTTCAAGCATCATCCCTTTGAGACTTTTGGCAAGCCAGATGGCGGTATCCCTAGGAGAAACCTTTTCCCTCCCGAAAGGCTTCAAGACAACTGTGAGCTCCTCCAGCCTATTTTGCTGCAGCAAGTCAGCTGACAGTTCCAGCAACCCCTCGAGTGCATCTGCCCTCTGTCTGAACGAATTCACGTCCAAAGTCTCTTTCACCGGCGGCGGGCCTTCTTCCTGGGCCGATGACGGGCTTGCTTTTACTGTTTCGAACGAATCCGACTTTGCAACTGTAAGTGAAGATGGATTTGGGTTTGGAGTCTTCATGTCTATTTCCTTTGTGATAGGGTTTTTGGAGACATCCAACTCGGAAAGGGAATTTTCAGGATGTATCACATCAGTTCCATCAAGCACTGGGTGAGTGGGCTCGATTGTTGTCTTCTCGTTATTTTCATTTTGCACTCTGGGACATATGTCTGTAGAAAAGTTCTTCACAATGAACTTATCATTATCGTCACCACTGGATGCTAAAGAAATAATGCTCGAATTTCTCACGAGATTATTGGTAGGTAAATCATCACAAAACTGGCCGATGCCCTTATCAATAACAAAACCAGCATTCTCGTCAGCCACATTCTTCACGACCATATCTTTGTCATCCGCGTTATCAATAGAGGAAGAATTCACGTTCTCATCGTGCGCATTCTTCATGTCCATATCATCTTTGTGATCCACGTGTTGTTGAATTAACAATGTATCGGCCGAACACATGGTTGATTCATTTTTTTTGTTTCCGAGCCTTTCATTTTTCGGTCTTTCAGAGTGAGACGAAGAAGTGGTGGAGATGTCTGACCTGGAGTCGTTAATTTCGACTTCGGCTTCTCGCTGTTTAATTTCCCATTTTTTCTCCTTGAAGCAATTTTCCATCTTTTCTGGAAATGACGAGCGGAGGACCTCAATGGCCTCTACTTTCTTGGCTTGCTCGTGACCATCATTTTGGAATGTATCATCACATACAGAGGAAGATGCCGAATTGGTGCTGTCCGTTTGGATCCTCTTTGGGTGGGGCCCTACTGACCTTTTCGAATGCTGCATGACTTCCCTTGTTATCTGTGAACCGTATGATGATGAATGAGGCTCAGATTTCGTAGCCTCGTTTGGGTCATTGGCTTCGTTTGGTTGATGTATTCGGGTCGATAACGAGGGTCGTCTAGACAGGGTTAGTGGAGTTTTCTGCTTTGTACTGATTGGCAATCCTTCTTCAGTGACGGGCTTTGTTGGGCCCGTTGGGGGGATCCCTTCATGTCTAGCTTTGGTCTTTGGTGGGGTTTCCATCATGGGTAACTACACAAATAGGGATATCTTTGTGAATATTATGAAGTCCAAGAAAAACGATAAAAAGAGGGAGGGTCACAATTACTCCTCAACGTGTAGCCTAATTAAAAAAAAAAAAAAAATGTCCAGTTGTATGACATTTAGCTATATATCGTACTTGTGGCAAAATCAGCTCAGACAGGCCAGCCAGCACATAAGATCGAGGTTTTTACTTTAGGGACCAACAAGCATAAATAAAACTAGAAACAAACATAAAAACTGTTGTTGCAGCCCAACTCGTTGTCACCTCTACATCCTAAAATTTTCAATTTACTTACAAATTGCCCTGGAGAAGTGTACAAGTTGGAAAACAGAAACGAATACATCTGGTGCATTTGTAATTTGAAAATAAGCCACTTAAAGGGAAAAAACAAAAGGCTAAACTCCAGGGTATTATTCGTACCTGGTGCTTCAGAGAAGGAGATCCCTGCATTCGCTTAGAAGATTCCGAGTTCGCCTTGGAATATGGGGCCTCAGCACTAACCTTATGATGACCGTAATTAATGGGGCCCGGTTTCGCAACCCTAGGAGATGCTTCCACAATTATTCTCTGATTGTTGATGCCGGTTTTAACATGGTGGGTTCTCATGGGAGAACTATTCTCTCTATTCCTCCCTTCTTTCAAAGCAATCATGATGTTCTTTATTGTCTTGGGATGCTGCTTTGTTCCGTTACAACCCAAGTCCTTATGATCATGGTCATCATCATCATCATCACCATTAATGGAAGCTGAGTCTGTATCGACGGTTTTGTTATGATGATTGCGGTTTGAAATGTTGTTGGTCTCGTTCGGCATAATTACCAAGCTGTCCCTATCGCTGCAAGAACTGTTGCTGCTCTGGCTCTCGGCCATGCTCCTTCTGCTCTCGCGAGATCCGGAAAGAGGTTTTTGGGGCGAAATGGAAATTGGACGGTATTGGTAGATGTATGGCTGCAGATATGGGTTCTTGAGAAGCTCGGATGCCTGATAATTACAGATGGGAAGATGAATTGTTTAATTAGATAAAATGATATAAGCAGAATTTTAAAAGATGATAATTGTTTGTGTTCCTCACACTTAGCCGGTGTTCGGGGTTTTTCCTGAGCATGCTCTTGATTAGAGATTTCCTGTTAAATGAAAAACGTAATTAATAAATATTATCAAAATGAAAGTCGACACTAACAATTGCCAGGTTTCATGAAACAAGAGGCCCAGAAGAATTTGTAAAATTATGGTAAGAAGATATAGTATAGTATACATGGTCACAACATCTCACATTAATTTACAAATGAGGAAT